GAGCATAGAAGCTTTGGGAACTCCAGAGATGAAAGGTGGCCAGTGGGGTGGACTTTGGTGCCTGAGACGGAGAGCAGGCCCCCCTTTATGCTAGGGCAGAAGGCAAGGGTCAGAGAATTCAGGGCCTTGTAGGTGGTTAAGGCACGATTGGGGACTTTTCCTACAAGAGTGATGAGAAGCTACTGAAAAGTCATTAAGTAGGGGAGTGATTTGATCTGCCTTCCAAAGATTTCTGGGGTTGCAGCGTGCAGAATGAATTGGAGAGAGCTAATAATTAAGACGATACTGATAAAATCGCCTTGAAGAAATGTTAAGGCCAGAGTCGAGGGGTGCCTGGGTGGCTCAGTCAGTTGGGCGGCCGACTTCGGCTCAGGTCATGATCTCACGGTTCATGGGTTCGTGGGTTCGAGCCCCGTGTCGGGCTCTGTGCTGACAGCTAGCTCAGAGCCTGCAGGCTGTTTTGGATTCTGTGTCTCCCTCTCTCTCTGATCCTTCCCTGCTCATGCTGTCTCTCTCTCTCAGAAAAAAAAAAAAAAAAAAAAAAAAGGCCAGACTTGGAAGGGAGGAATTTCAAATAGGCAAAAAGTAGCCTTATGAAGTGTGTTTGAAAGCTCAGCAGATATAGGTTAAATTTCTTCAACTTGCTGATGGCAGTGATTTAGATGCTGATATAACAGCTTCCATTTTATTTCTCTCTCTCTTTTTTTTTTCTTCAGTTTTAAGTATTGGATGGAAAAAGTGTCTCCTTCTCACCATTCCCTTCCTGCTGGATCTATGAACTGCTGACCAACTGATCCCGGGAGCGCCGGGCTCCCCTCCTCCCCAAGGGTGGACTGCCTCCTGTGCCCTACTGGCTGTCGGGCCCAGTGCCATGGTGAGATTTCGGAGGGCTTGAGGTAAAAGGTGGGAAAGAACAGGGGAAGCAGAGAGAAAGGGCTTCTTGGGGGTTTGCATAGAACGGGGCAGCAGAATGGAAATGGTGGAGGGAGACCCCTTTCCCTTTGCCTGGCAGTGAGAGTTCTGTGTCGTCAAGATGGTGTAAAAAGGACAGAAGACTGCTTCCCCAGAATCCCTGCCTGAGACGGGGGCTTTGGCCGGGGTCAGCTGATACACCACAAGAGCTGGCGATACAGACCACGGGATTAGGCAGGAGGAAGTTCACATTTGCAGTTCTGTTTATGCAGTGGGCCAAATAGAGAATGCTGGCTAATGGCTTGCTTTTCATAGTCATTGACAACAGCTTTCTACGACACCTAGGTTTTCTTTGGAAACTGTGAGGAGCTACTGAAAAGAAGAAAAATAACGTCTTCTGGTCTTAAAGAAGCTCACAAAGGAAAGTAACTCTACAGGGTGCTTGGGAGAGTAACTTCAATTTCGGGGGGGGGGCGTCGGATACGGAAAAAAATGACCTTGCATAGATGGCGTGTTTTGCTGAGTGTTTTTTGATTTGCGTGGGTTGCATTTTTAAAGTCAAGCAAATGGGTCTGGACTCATGAGTAGAGGTGCTGTGATGAAATAATCAGGACACAGAGATCTCATAGTTGCAATAACCAATGAAAATTTGACCAACAATACTTGTTAGATCTTGGGGGCTTCTAAATGCCTTGCTCCTAAGCTGGACATGGCAATGGCATGTGAGATGATACTCGCACAGTGGTGTGTGAGAGAATACTGCGAGATAACTTCTAGTTCTCTAAATTTATTTCATTTAAAAATATTTTTTCCTTTTTTTAAGCACTCTCTACACCCAACGTGGGGTGTGAACTCACAATGCCGAGATCAAGAGTCACATGCTCTACCAATAGAGCCAGCCAGGTGCCCCTCAAACAGATCAACTTAAAACAAACAAACAAACAAACTAGAGATCTAGGGGTACTTGGTTGGCTCAGTCGATTAAGCATGTGAGTCTTGATCTTGGCACTGTGAGTTCAAACCCCATACTGGGTATAGAGATTACAAAAGGAAAAATCTTTTTTAAAAAGGAGGAGGAGGGGGGCACTTGTGGGGATGAGCACTGGGTGTTATATGGAAACCAACCTGACAATAAACTATTTGTAAAAAAAAAAAAAAAAAAAAAGTTGATCCTTTCAAATCTCTAAGTCCATTTTTTCCATTTGTTCAACAAAATTGTATATAGAAAGATATTACTTATTGTTTGCTAGTAAGTACTTGCATCTCCAAACATCTAAATTCATTTTCTATTACCTATTTTATTGATCAGGATGTATTTTATTGATAGGAATTCTAGGCTTATTCCCAGAACAAATGGTAATAACCTCTTCGACCTCCAAATTCCAGTGTCTAGAACAGTGCCTGCCACGTAGCAGGTGTTCAACAAAAAATTAGTGAATTAAATCATAGTAGTTGCCGTGTTCAAGAAAGCCAGAAAATAAAATCTATTTGAAAATAAATCTTTGAGGGACGCCTGGGTGGCTGAGTCGGGTAAGCGTCTGACTTAGTCTCAGGTTATGATCTCACAGTTAGTGAGTTCAAGCCCTGCCTGGGGTTCGGTGCTGACCGCTCAGAGCCTGGAGCCTGCTTCCGATTCTGTGTCTCCCTCTCTCTCTGCCCCTTCCCTTTTCATGCTCGCTCTCTCTCTCTCTCTCTCAAAAATAAAGAAAACATTTAAAAATTTTTAAAAAAGAAAAAGAAAATAAATCTTTGAAATAGCAAAACCTTAGATCCACTTTGCCAATAAAATAAAATATCCTACCATCTGATTAATAAACTTTTAACGTAAATCTTAAAAATTGTTAGATCCAACCTCAAGTGTGAACCCACAGAAGACACCGTAAGGAGGAAAGAATTGGAAACATACCGTTTTCCTTCTCGGCAATCAGGACAGTTTGCGAACATACCTCAGGTCTCCTGCATTTGCACTTCATTGAGGATGGGCTACTCATTGCTCACAGAATCAAGTTCAAACTTCATAGGGTGTTTCTGAAGATCCTTTGGGGTTTTGGCGTTATTTGGGCCGCCCCACCCACACATCCTGGGCGTCTGCCCAGACGGCCTGTTCTTTTTCTTAGCTCAGTCCTGCGCCCTCTCACCGACCTCTCCCTCCGCCTGGACTTTGCCCACTGGGCTCCTTCTGTACCTCCCTCTAAAACCTTCCCACATTTCAAGGTCCAGTTCAATCTCCAAGGCCTTCAGGAAAGCTTCCTCGGCCCCCCTTCGGATGCATTAGTTCTTGGAGCCTGTCCTTTCTAAGGAGGGGGGGGGGGTCCATGTCGTTATCTCCCGACTGGATCGCGACCACCCTGGCGTTGATCATCGTTCAAGAAGCCGCCGTGCCCAGCCCCTCGCACAGTGCCTGGTACAAAGAAAATGCCCGGGAGAGATTTGTTAAAATGAATCTAAACCCCAGAGGGGAAAAGAAGCGCCCGTGCCTAGTAGCAAAGGCCCTTCACGACCTCGGGGGAGGCCGGTGGTGTAGCCGGACCCCGTCCCCAGCTCTAAACTGGCGGGAGAATGTGGCGCGGCAGGAGGCTCCCGGGAAGGTTTCTCAACCCTCTACTTATTTCCTCTACTTTCATAGAGGAATCGGAAAGTTCTTCGCCAGCGGCCTCGGGCAAGCCAAGAGGGCGGCGCAGACGGCGAGGGGTGGGGGTGGGGGAGGTGGGGGTTGGGGTGCCCGGTCTCGTGGCAATTCTGGCTTCAGTATTTTGTATTGAATGCTTCAAGTTTCACCAATTCCAGTTCTAAACTAGGAGTCCAGGAGGTAGAGGGTTTCCCGGAGCACAGATTTTCCGTCCTAGGGAAGGCTCCCAGCATTCGGGGTTTCGCCTCAGAGACCCTTCTCACGTTTGTCACGGCGGGGAATCTACCGGGCGCTCCTGGCCCCCGCATCCTGCCGGTGCCGAGAACCGCGGTTCCGGCCGCGCGACCTCGGCCGCTTCCTCTTTCAACCCTCTGGGCAAACCCGGTCCGGGCGAGTGGGGGAGCTCCCGGCCCGCAGTACGAGGCAGAACGCGGGCCCCGTTGGACTACAACTCCCAGGATGCTCTGGCAGACGCGCAGAGGAGGGGGCCAGGGGGAGGGGCCTGGGGTGGGGGGGGTGGCAGGGAAATCCCGCCCCGCTGCGCAGCAGCAGCGACACAAAGCCTGACTTTACAACCTCGTAGAGAAAGTGGAAGTAAGACGGCTTAGGTGGGGAGGCAGGACTCGAGAACTGAACTGGAGGAGGGAAAGCCGCGTAGGTGGGAGGGGAGCGAAGCGAGGGCAGTGGGGAGACCCGCGCCTTTGCAGATGAGGGCGGGCGGTTTTCATAACTAACCCCCCCCGCGCCCTGCCCCGCCCGTGCTGGGGTCTCCACAGTGCCCTGCGTGTCCCCCACTCCTCGCTGCGAGCCCGGCTCCTCCCCGCCGCCGAGCGGGGAGCCGGGCTGCCTCGCGTGCTCGGGGCGGGCCGGCGGACCGCGCGGTGGTTCCCTAGCCCGGGTGCGGAACGAAAGCGCGGGGCGGAGCGGCTGCCGCGGACCGAGGAGGGGCTGCGAGCGAAGCGGCGCCGCGGACGAGTTAGGGCCGGGGCAGGGCAGTAGTGGGGAGGGGGGTGGGGGGGCTGAGGCGAGGTGAGGCGCGGGGTGCCCCGGGAGGGTCCCCCGTGCCCCGAGTGGCGCGGAAGCACGCGCGGGCTGGCCGGCGGGGACGGCGGGCGGTGGCGCTGCGCCGGGCAAGAGTGCAGACAGCGGGGTGCCGAGCCCGGCGCGGGCGGAGAGATTGGGGCGCCCCCCTCCCCGCGGGAGGAGCCTAGCGCTCCTCCGCCATCCCTCCCCCGCGCGCCGGGCTCGCCTTCCCGGCCGGCTGCTGCGGGAGCGGCGGGGAGGCGGGGGCCGGGGCCAGAGCAGGGCGAGCGGCGGGGCCGCCGCCCCCGGGACGGGCGGGCCGGGGGCGGGCCGGGAGCGAGGCGGGGCGGGGGCCGGGGCGCGAGGGCGCGGGCGGCGGCGGCGGCGGCGGCGGCGGCGGCGGCGGCGGGGGGGCGGGGGGAAGCGCGGAGAGCCTAGGAGGGCAGGCGGTGGCGGGGCCGCCCGCCTCGCTGTCCGCTTCACGCCGCCGGCCCACGCCGCAGTGTGTTTCGTGGACGGCGCCTTCCCAGACAGCCCGGTAGAGCCCAGCTCGGCGCCCGGCAGCCTTCGTCGCGATGTTCCGCCGGAGCTTGAATCGTTTTGTAAGTACACTCGCTGCGGCTGCACGCGTGCGGTTTTGCTTGCTCGCCCGCCCTGCGCCGGGTCCCTCGGAACAATTTTCTGAGGGGGGAAGCGCATCCCTGGGAGGCGCCGCCGCCACCCCCTTGTAGGTTTTAACTGAACCACGTTGCCCGGGCGGCCGGGGTGGGGAGGCAGGTGGGGCGCCCGGAGTCCCCCTCCCCCTGGACCATCGGACCGGAGCTTCCCGGGGCTGTCGCAAACTCCGTCTCCGACGGGGGGTCGCCCTGGGGCCGGATGGCTGTGGGATCCGCGGGGTTGGGGGTGGGGGGCTCGGCCTAGGGGCCCCTCGGTTTGCCAATTAGTCGAAGATGGCGTTTGATTATCAGGGAGGTTGCCTTCTTTTGTTTCCTCTGCCACGAGCACATGGAGGTAAACCCAGACCTGTCACTGGGTCCCAAAAAAAGACCTGGGAGCTGGAGGCGAGGGCAGGACTCAGCCTTGTCCGGGGATCGGCCGGGCGGGGAGGGGAGGGGGTGCTGCTGACCAGAGCCCGGGCGAACTTTGGGGACCCCGCCTCAGCAGCTCACCTTGAGGGTGCGGGGAGAGCGGAGGCGGTGGGCTGGGTGGATGTGGAGCCGCGAGGAGGCTGCGCCGCCGCTCGCGAGCGCCGGGTCTGGAGCCTCGCCGAGCACCGAACGCCCCAGACGCCGGGGCGGGTGAGAGAAGGCAGGCTCCGGCCGGACTCCAGCGTCCACGTTTACCCCCTCCCCATCCCCAGAAAAGGGAACTGCATTTCCGTGGGACTTTGGCATTAGGGGAAAGCGATTTCTGGCTACTGACTTTTTTGAGTAACCTGTTTACTCCCGGAGCGTACATTCAGCACGGAGCAGAGCAGCGACCACTCACTTCTGTGCTATTTGTAGCAACTTCTTTAATTGTGAGAGGAGGTGGCGGGAATAGGATTTGATTTCTGCCAACGACGTGAAAGAAAGGGCTTCCCTGTAGATGTTGACGTTTCAGTCGTTCAGAAAAATGGTTCGGTGCCGGGCGCCCCCTCCCCCCATGGAAATCGGTGTTTGGAGAACTTGTCCCTTCGGCCCTTTTCATGTGATTATTACTAATCAAAGCGTTGCTAACCTTTCTCAGGCGTCGGAGGGTTTTTGTGCGTTTGAAACTTTCACAAATGTACCCTGGCTGAAAGAAATGATTGCATATCCCTTTTGAGGGTATTATCACAGCAGTGTTGTGTTAATGTTTTTCCAAATGTTTACCTCATCCAGAGGCAGGTCTTATGAAATTGGGGCAGATTACCTGTGGCACAGAGCAAGGGAGGTTGTACATATCAAGGATCTTGAAATCTGTAGGAGTTGGCTTGTACCGGATGATTTGCTAACACAAGAGGCTAAAATCGGTCTCTCACATTGAGCCGAGAAGGTCCAGAAAGCATTGTACTTCATAGCTCTGTTTCACATACATTCCCGTGATCTTGGAGGGTTGGTTGGGGCCGCCAAAAAGGGAAAGGTGACCAGGGGACCTAATGGTAACATTTGGGGAAGGATAATCTTTTCACATGGCACTCGTGTGGTGGAAAACGACCAGACTCTGGCTCATAATGCATTCATTAGCTTAAAATTGAGATGTTGGCATGCCCAGTGTTTTACCGGGTTTGAACATTTGAAACCGAACAATCCAAGTGTTGGTCGGAAAGCCCCCTTTGCTTTTCTGGTGCTCAGAGTGATGATCTGCATTGTATCGGAGTCTGGTAATTAAGCAGTGCTGGCCCGGAGAGGTAGGGCATGCAGTAGAATTTGCAGCATCTTGTGGAGTGCCAGCCTGCAGGTTTGAGGCTAGTACTTTGCATCCCCAACCAAGATCTCTGCAGAGAATCCCTTACCTTCTCTCACACTGAAATGAGCTTTGACCTCATTGTTCTCCTGAAATACCCGACTGCTCACATTTTCCTGTGCAACCATGACTATGGTAAGTCTCGGGAATTTGTACCAGTGCAATAAGCTGGAAGGTTCTCCGGAGTTGTATCTGAGCCCTAGGCCTAGGGCAAGGAATTAGTCTGCAAGCCATTGGACTGAAGGTGAGCTAGGCTGTTGAATACTCATTGCTGAAGAATGACTTCAGAATTGAGGGGGCAAATTTTGTCCTCCCTAGATCAGTGAGTCTGCCGGCCTCCTCTTTCTCGCCTGATGGAGATTATTTGAAGAGCGCTCCCATTTAAATCACTAGAAGGCTACAGTTGAAGATTTCGGTTGGACTTTGAGACTTACACAGACAGCATTGTAGGTACAGTGCAAGTTGTGTGCTGTCATAGGATCGCTTTTATATTTCAGAGGTGGGGCTCTGGATTCCTTTAAAAATCAAGCAGCATTTTTTGTGTGTACCTATACGTGCCTACAATCGACTTTGAGCATGACATAAATTACAGTGGTGTTGATCGTAGTTGTTGGTCACTGAAAATTAGATGCGTGCTAGGACAGGGCTTTATGTTTTAAACCTGATGTGGGGAGTGAATATTTCTTGGGCGTAGCATCGTCTTCTGTGGCCCTGTAGCGTTTGCTGAATCGTCTTAAAAAGGCCATTTATTTCCCCCAGGTTCTCCAGTTTCAAGCTAAAACAAATTGTATTTCTTAAAGACATGGCCTTGATTTCAATGGCATTAATAAATGATTTATTTTTTTTTCTGATGAATTATGACTTTCCTTTTGACAGTTTTGAGGTAGGAAGAAATTGGTGGCTTTGGTATAGGATTTTGGGGTTTAGGCATGTAGGGGGTGTCTTCAAAGATCTAAGAGTTGGATGTCTGAGTATAATAAAAGAACCACATGTTCCCAATCAACATCTCCATTTTCCAGAAATGCAATAAATTAAAAAAGATGTTAGCTTTGTCTATACAATTTATTTCCTCCAATGGTATGTTTAATTAGAAGTCTGGACTAGTTGATATCTAGGGGTCAGGGACTTTTATATTATCCTTCTATTCTTCATAAATGCCAAGTGAGTACGATAGCATTTTCACATGGGTTTAAAGGTTTAAGGACAGTCCAAACAATAAGAATTCCCCCCCCTTTTTTAAAGATTTCATTTTTAAGTAATCTCCACACCCAATATGGGGCTTACAGTTAAAACCCCAAGATCAAGAGCGCAGATTCCACTGACTGAGCCAGCCAGGTGGCTGCCCCCCACCATTTTTTTTTTATATTATTTCACGTTCAAGATTCAAAATAAGACATTGCTTGATAAAGTAGATTCGGGGAGGTTGGCCAAGTAGATGCTGTCAATTTAGCTTGTCAGAGTGATATTAAACAGGCATGAATTTCTAGGTCGTTGATACATGAAAGCTTAAATTATGAGTGTGAAATACTGGAAAAAAAATTGTCTCTGATTCTAGAAGCTCTCAAAGTGTTCTGGTTCCAGGAAGTATGCAGCATATAGTCATATCACACAGAAAATGTCGATTCAGTCACAGAGGCCCAGGACTGGGAAGAAATTAGACTGAATAAGGTAGAATGAAAATTCAAAATAAGAACAAAAATGTTAAGAATAATTAATGAAATAGGTAGCTAATTTGTTATTTTGGGTCCAAGGCAAGGCCAGTCTAGTCAAGCAATATTGGAGGCAATTAATCAATTAATAAAATCAGGTAATTGCTGTTTTTTTCTTTTTTTTTTTTTGAGCGAGAAAGTTCTCGGTTTCCTCCTATAATTATCAGGGTAATTAAGCTTTTCTTCCCACGTTTCACTTTGCTAACAACCTTGGCCTGACATTACTGAGCATGGAAAATATTGATGAGTTCATTTTATTATGTTTAGAAATTTATCCAAATACGTGTGTTGCGGTAGTTTTGCATTCACACCAGCCTTACAAATAGTCTGTGCATCTTGGCTCCTACCAGGTAGTTCATACATGGCTGGGTTATTTTTAATTCCAGTGTAGTTAACATACAGTGTTATACTAGTTTCAGGTGTACAATATAGTGATTCAACACTTCCATATATTACTCAGTGCTTATCAAGATAAGTATATTCTTAATTCCCTTCACCTATTTCCCCTATCTCCCCCCCTCCCTCCACCTGCCCATAAACAGCTTGGTTTAACCTTTGAATTTGACCTTACTAAAAGTAACCTTTTTAATCTTACAATAATTTCCTTTTAACTTGTGTAGCACCCTAGATCAGTCTTTTAAGAAGCCCTCAAGCCCTAGGGCATCATATTGTGTGTAATAAATTATCTCCTTTGCATGCATTTGGAGATGAGGAATTCCAATCGAGAAAGGCTGCTCTAGCCTGAAAGCTTGGGGGGGAGGGGGGATGGGCAGAAACAGTTGGCAGTGTGCCAGGTGCATAGTAGGTGTTTGATAAATATTTTTTGAATGAACAGTTTTTATGTGTTTCGCATGAATAATAACTTACAGACAGTGATATTTATAGCAAATTCCTCCTTATGAAGAATGATTCTGGCACAGAGTTCCTAAAATCCTTGGAATTTCCTGTGATGAAAGCAATCAAAGGTATCTTTTGTTATGTTAATTAGGCAACTTTTGGACTGCACCTCCGGTAGGGGGCCGGTTGCCAGAGGATCCAACCTTTTTGAGTAGAGGGTTGGAACTTTCAGTCCCACTCCTAGACCCGTGGAGGGAAGAGGGTCTGAGGATTGAGTTCTGTCACCAATGGCCAATGGGTTAATGTCCAGCCTCTGTAACGAAGCCTCCATAAAAACCCAAAAGGACAGGGTTTGGACACCTTCCGGGCAAGTGAGCATGTGGAAATTTGGGGAGAATGGCGCGGCTGAAGGGGACGTGGAAACTGCACCCTTTCCCCAGACCTTGCCGTGTGCTTCTCTTCCATCCAGCTAGGCTGTTCCTGTGCTTTTATCTTATACCAGCCAGTAATCGAGTAAGTCAGCGGTGTCTCGGGGTCTTGTGAGGGTCTCTAGCAAATGAATAGAACCTGAGGAGCAAGTTGTGGACTTGTGCCAGGTGTCTGAAACCCAAGGTGAGCCTTCTGGGAAC